AGTCAAGCAACAGAGACCTCCCCCAGCATGTAGATGACGAGTGGAGAAAGGTCACTGTTCAGCGCTGGAGAAAGAATCTTGCTGAAAGCTTCAACAATGGCTTGAAGCAATGGTTAGGTGAAAAGGCAGACTTGCCTGCGCTCATCTTGGATAGTCAGGTGTGGATATTTCCTTATGAGTTTGGTGCGATCAAGCTGTTCAATGACCAGAGAGACTGGTTGTTTGACTTCATCAGACGTGAGCCTTTACGGATGCAAACAGCATGACTTATGCAACTTGTGGCCATGGAAGTGGAGAGGCTCTGCAATGTTCAGGTCTCCTTGGGAGTTCAGATGCTTGAAAGAGAACCATTTGTGTGCAGCGGAAACTTGAGAGGATCTAAGTTTCGGGGGACGTACAATATGGACCTCTAGGGCTCATCCCCATTCGAATAGATCAATTTAGCACCATGTAGAAACCAGGAACCCCGCAAGCCAGCAGGTGTTAAGTCTAGCTAGAAGGTGCCTTTTAGCAACAAACGTGCACTCAATAAAGGAACATTTTTGTAAGTCCTTTCGTGTTGCTTCAGTGCAGTATCTCATCTACCAAGAAATGGGCGGTATGCTCATAAATGGCACCCTACTAAAGGACTCCTTCCTTGATGCCGACTGCGCGTTCATGGAAGTGCTTTCAAGCTACTCATCTTGCGCTCAAACTTCCTAGGTTTGCCTCCAAGGACCCTTTTCAACCCACAAACCTCCTTTTCTAACCCTACAACACGCCTGTCTAACCCAGAGACACTTCCTCGAACTCAATTTCTTCCTTGCGCTTGCTAGCAGTTTTACTTTTTTTTCCCCAATAGCCATGCTATGGGGTCTTGCAAAACTAATAGGCGGACGGGCGCCGTCGGGTCACCGTTAGAGCTGGTGGGCGGATGGTGTCCCGGTCATGTTTTGATGGCGTCCGGGTCATGTGATGCTGGTGTCCCGGTCATGTTTTGATTGTGTCCCAGTCATGTTGTGATGGTGTCCCGGTCCTGTTTTGATGGTGTCCCGGTCATGTTTTGATGGTGTCCCGGTCATGTTGTGATGGTGTCCCGGTCATGTTTTAATGGTGTCCCGGTCATGTGATGGTGTCCCGGTCATGTTGTGATGGTGTCCCGGTCATGTTTTGATGGTGCCCCGGTCGTGTTGTGACGGTGTCCCGGTCATGTTTTGATGGTGTCCC